CAATAAACATGACAACGGTTGAACCGATCGGGCCCAAAATGTGTATGGGACCTCACATGACCCCAGGGAAGGTTTATGCATGATCAAATTTTAAAAATTTGCCTCCAACAAATTCGATTTGTATTAAATTTTGAGAATTCACAATTCACAATTTTTTTTAATTCGCGAACTTTTGGTTTGTTTTTGTTTTACAATAGTACAATGTACATATACAAAGATAAAATGTACAATTGGAATAGAAGATGAGCGCGAAGCTCTCTGAAAGCCTAATATTTTTATATTTAGCTTAATTTTGAACGTTTGATCTCGAAATCCAATCTGGGCATTTTTATATTTGAGGAATAAGGTTTGATCCAGCAATAGCTATTTATGCATGGGTTGATCACCACTGGGTTTAATAACAACAATCCCGAGGTATGGTTAAGATGGAGATCATTGCTTGATCCCAGAATTCACAAAATATATGACTTCAGATCCAATTTTTTTGTGGCAACTATAGTTATTAAATCCCAAAGGTGTATAAAACCGGTCAGGATAAAAAGTTTAGCTTGAAATAATTTCAATTATAGAAATTTGGAAATTTTTCAATTTGGGGTGGGGGTGGGAGATTATTACCATTCATGCGCGTATACCAGTTTATTTTCATTCTCAGGCGCGTCTGTGCGCAGCGTGGTCTGTGCGTTATCTGAGTTCAAGCTCTCTAATCCATCAACTGTGACCGGTTCACCGGCCGTCAGTAACCGGTCCGTAGCGATATCTTCCGGCGGCGTAGTTGTTACAGATTCTGTTGTTGTTTCAGAACTTAATTTTGTTATAATAGCTGTTGGTTGAGTGCTATAAGTTGTTGTGGTTTGTTTGATGGTTGTTGCCTGACTTGTTGTTGTGGTTGTAGGGTTGAGATCAAGTAGACCCGGGATATAGGGAAGGGAGGAACGAGTTGTAAGCCAGGGAGGAAGGGGGTTGGATGTTGTAGATGTTGTTGTTGTAGTTTCTGAAAATAATAAGATTATCATGATATAGTTTGAAACTAGAGAGTTTAAATATACAGAACGTGTTTGCAATATGGTATTAAGGTTTAGAACAAAACATGAAAACTAGAGAATTTTACATTGTGTTATACTGGTATACTGGTATACTGGTATACTGGTAGTGAAAAATGATTGTATGGTTTAGATGAAGAGGTTTGGAAGATAAGGACATACATATTGGAAATAGATGAAATATGTCTAGGATAAGGATGGAAGGATGGATGAAATATGTCTAGGAGTAGGATGGAAGGATGGATGAAATATGTTAAGGGTAAAGAAGGATGAATAAATTAATGTAAGAAGAATAAGAATATTAAAACTTCTGACACAGCAACTTCTCTAAATCCTTTTCTTCTATATATAGGGGAATTCAATATTTATAATTGGGGACTGCTACACTTTAGAAAAAGGGTTCTACATTTCATTTACATAAAACTAAATAATTAAATCAAATTGTCTACATAAATCTGGTTTATAAAAAATAAAAAAAATAGTCCAAAATGGATGGGGCAAGTCAAAATAAAGTAATTTCATGTTGGATTGAAATCCTACATATTTTCATAGCTCCTGTCACTGAAGTATTCTTGTGATAAACAAATAACAACAAATTTTTTCTCATATTTACATATTTACACATTTTTTGGATTTTTTTATCTATGTTGTATGTAACTTTAATGGCAGGAAGTATCAAGGCAGAAAGGGAAGAAATGTCGAGGGGGGGGAGGGGTGAAATATGCATGAATTTCTAAGATTTATCTAAGTGTTAAGGAATCCTATGCTTGGATTCACAAGATATTTGTATAACCCCCTTGCCGAT